GGCTAAAGGGTTAAAGAAGCCAGTTTGAGCTCAGGGTAGAAACTTTCAACCCATCTGATTCTGACCCAAATAAAGACCTCTCTTATCCCTCCCTCCTGAAAATGAACAACAGTCTTGCTCAAATAATTGAATTGTTAACAACAATTTATTATGTGACAGTTACTCTTAAAAAAGAAAAATACATTGTAAAAGTAACATCTGCACAAACAAAACAATTTATTTAGCTTATGAACTAGATACTATCCTGTTGCAATGCATCTGCATTTTGTCATTTAATGACCAATTGTTACATCCCTTAATGCCACCCTCATGATTGCAATGATTGCAATCCAAAAAGAAGTCAAATAATAATGCAACTGGAAAAATTGATACATGTCAGTTAAAATAAAGTATAAAAAATAATTATTCACTAAAGTGGAGGTAAATATCCACCTTATTCACCAACACTGAGGTGAATAATAATTAGTTTTTAGTATAAAACACACAGAAACCAAACTGTTGATGTGCAATTTTTCCTCTTTGGCAGCTTGGAGGTGGATAGTGTTTGCTAATCACTTCCAAACCAGCCAATCTGTGTGTGCAAAAAAGTACTGTCAACCTGTGTGGTATAAATTAATTAAAGTATGTTAAACCAATGTTGATTTGGACATAGATGTAACAAATATTCCATGAAATAGTTGAGAACCACAATTTTAGTTCCTCATTTTCCTGTTATTCATGGATCAATTTTCAATTGACTATTGTACGTATTTGTGCCGTGCGATTAGCCTTGGAATTTTGCGACACGTTCTCAACTAACGAGATGAGAATTCGTTAATCAATCATGCTTTGACAGCCGCGTTTCCCAAGCCTTTGTTTAAGTTCTGACTGGTGCCTAGTGGTGTTTACCTTCGTATTGATCGGACAGAGAGCAATTTTCCATGAGTGTCGAAAATGATCAGATATTGCTTTGGTTTTGCTTTTATCATAGTAAGTTAATTCGTTTGCTTCTTTTTACCTTAAGTTATCAGGGAATTTCCCTTCGCTATGACGGGCGGTTTTACGGCACGAGTAAAAAGCGCTCAAACAGTATTCTGGTTTTGGGTTTACGTCACTCGTTCAAAAAGTTATTCCAAATTGTTAGCTAGGCGATGGTCAATTGTTTCTGAAGATTATTTCACCCACAGTCAGAGACTAACAACAACCTTCTTTGCGTTTACTCAAGGTCATAATATATGATACTGCAGCACCAACGGTGCTCAAAACTCAAATGCGCAATTTTTCTTTTCCATGGGCATGTTTTCTTTAGTCAAACTTCAGGAACTAAATAGTAGTTTTACAAGGTGTAGAAAGAAACGTTTGGATTTACACTGTTAATATTAACTTACAATTTGAATTTTGTTTGACGGAGTTTTTTTCTTCTGTCTACATTTTTTCGAACGGAAGAGTTAATCCACACGAACATGATTTACTCCATTCTCCGGTAACAGGATCCTGTGAGTGTCCACTCTCAGGAAATACATGGCAATGTCCCTCACCAGCAACACTCGTTTTGCCCTCTTCAAAGTCAACATGAAGAAAAAGGTTAATACTGTACTATTTGATCGTGTAATCTGATCGTCCGGATGAGTAGTCTTGAGAACTTTTATTTTCGGTGGTAGAAACTGACGTTTCGACAACCTTTGTGGTAAAGAAAGCGTGATGTTATTTGTTTCCGTTGGATTGGAAGTCCGTCAACTTATTCGCGAAATTTACTCTACAGAAAAACAGAGCAGAACGACCAACAAGACTAACGGATCAAAACTGACCAATCATGACCGACGAACGCTACTCGAGTCTCGCAGCCAATCACATCTCTGCACAACAGACCGATCAACTGACATGAACCGAACTAATACAATTCGACTCGGATGATGTCTTCCGCTTAGGTTGTCGAAACGTCAGTCGCTATTACTAACAACAACCTTCTCAAGACTACGTTCATCGGGAGGATCAGACTAAACAAACAATTGTCGCTTTACTGTAAAACTAAACAAGTTTATTACTACGAAAGTGACGCTAACTAGAGTCGAAAAATTTCGTCTGTACTGAAATTCCCCAACCAAAACGAATTCTGTGCCAGTTTTCATTGCACATTGTTAAAAAATCATCGTGCCAAACACACTTTGGCCATATCTCCATAGAATAGCTTAGTTATCAACAGAGCATTACCTTGTCTGTTTAGAGGCCATGAAACTAAGGTGTCGGTGGCAGCCTCGTCCTCTTGGCTTGGTGTCTCAACTGTGCTTGTCTCCTGCAAAAACGGCCACATGAAGAGCGATTATTAGTACCAGAGTAGACTTCTCAACACATGGAGGTTAGAGCGGGAATCATACATGTGCAAGGGTCAAAAAATGCAGAGCGCAAGAAAGAAGTACGTAACCTACGTAGCAGCATCACTAACAAATCTAGCAGTTACGAAGACTTTAGAGAGAGTGAATGCAAAAATTGTACCTCAACAGCTATTATTTTCAAGACTCCGCGTACATTTTCGAACATGTATGTCGCTATTTCTCGCGATTTCAATAATTTAATGTTCCTGGGTTGTTTCGATTCAATTATTTAAGTGACGACAAGAAAAATATCCAGGTACAAGAGAAACCATGTCTGTTTCAAACTAACCTATTCCATGTACTTAGTTCGATGGGACGAACAAAAAGGTGGAGCGAGCGGGAAAAAAACGTAGGAGGGATGAAACCGATGGCGACGGAAAGAGGGCTTCTCTTTTTCGATTTTAGTCCGTCTGCCTTTTCGCTCTCGTTTCCTGATCGCGGAAAAGCTGGCACGAAATAAGACAGGATTGAGATTGACAAGTGAATGTGGCTCTACCTCTGTGTTGTATCTTTTCTTCAGTCTTTCACGGATTAACAGTGACCTCGTCAAAAGCTTCCAGTTCGCCAGCATACGTTTTTCGCGCTTCTGCGGAAATCAAGATATGAAGAGCAAACACACAGTCAACTCCTTCTCGTACAATCGATTCAATGTCCAGCGAACAGCTGATTAGAAATGTTATCAACCACATCATGGTTTATCTCGATAAAACATCAAATTCTCACAAATAATTTAAAAGGAAATATATGGCATGAAGTGGGGAGAGTTGATAAACAGACCTCTGCTCTTTTCCTCTCTGCTTGTTCCTCTTCTTCATGCCACGCATCCAATAACACCTGTTCATATTCCTCACACACCACAACACCATCAATACTGAGAAAAAAAGGTTGACGAGAAAATTTACAATTTATGCAAGCTTTCAAATAATAAAAAAAAAACTTTGCACTGCCCAGAACGGTTATTGTCCCCAAGCCATTTACTTCCACTTCAAGAAAAGCTGGCTATTCTACTGCGTCCTATTAAGGAAAGACCCTCAGAGAGAGCTCCAATCATTGTCATGAACACCACACGGCGCTCATCGTTTTAATGAACGTAAATTAATGCAAGTTATTTCTACCCAAAATTTCACAAACGGGAACATTAATAAATTAAAATTCGAAAATTGTCTCAGCTACAAAATGGTGAACAGCTTCTTACCGGTAGAGGAAAACATTTTCAAAATATCTACTTACACAGGATGGCTAAAACCACAGTGAAAATCAAATCCAATCACAGCCTGAGCGCAATCAATGCCGAGTTTCTTAGCCACCCGTTGGATGCCGTTTACTATTAAACAAAAGAGCGATGATAAGAACTACTGTCCGTCTCACATCGTTGAAGAAGCGATGACCTAATATTCAAGGAAACTCTGCTTTCACGGTGTCCGCCCTCATTTCTCCTCCCTCCTCCTCCCTCTCGTCTTTTATTCCCCTTCCTTAACCCCCCCCACCCCTTAGCCTCCGCACCCCCTTCGCCTTCTTTGCCTTCCTTCCCCATTCCTCCCTCTTTCCTCCTTGACACAGATGCCCCCTGTGGAGGGGGGGGGGGTTGGGGGGAACCTGCCGTGAAATATGTGTCATTCGAACAGAAAAGTAACATCCCACACAACTGTATCTTATTCATCAACCCCAACTCCTACCCTGTTACTACAAATCCGATAAACCTCCAACCTTCTACCAGCGCATAAAAATAAGGGCGGCGTCTTCTAAAGTACAATAGAACTGACACTCATCACATAATATAAGAAACTCACTTTGAATGTGCCTCGTTCCTGGTGGCAGCATACAAGGTTGGAATAACTCTACGTTACCATATTCATTCCTTGGTACTTTTCCCTGAAAGCCAAAAAGATTCAAACAAATATTTCATTCTAAATGCACTTATTTCCTTCTCTAAATGCCACAAACACTTGTTTTTCAAGCTCCTTACATCTTTCGCTGGCGGAGGTTTATATTTCTCTGTTTGCCATCTGCCAAACAAGTCAATTGTAACTGAATCTCGCTCATGGATTGGTTGATTCTGAGTAAACAAACAAAAAATCAATAAAAGACTTTCAACTCAGTATACGTTTAGAAATCTCGACCTTCAAAGACATAAAAATAGTTCTCACCCTTTTAGGCCGTCCTTTTACAACCTTGTAAGGTTTCTCGCCTTGCTAAAATTAGAGTAATACAAAATAAGTTTAAAAAAGAAAAATAAAAAAACATCAACAGTTTATTTTGGAAAAAAAAAATGTTCATTCCTATAAACTGGTAAAAAAACGCATCTCTTGCCTTCACAACCAAAGCCTCATTCAACCACTTCTCTCTTGTGTGGAGCTAGAAAAAAAGTCGAAAGAAAATTACACGATAAAGTTTCTTTCAATCGAGAATCCGAATCCAAAACCCAAGCAATCACAACAGCCAATCACGAGAAGGAAAATGTCACCAGGATCCAATGAGAACTTAAAGAACCTGAAGCCTGAAGCGCGGGAAAACGCGGGTGACCAAGTCGCGAGTGGTGTTGGCTCGAAATCTGATTTGCCGAGAAAGTGGCGCGAGTTTTCTAAACCAATCACACATCGTGTCAGAAGAAAAACCATAGCAATCCCCGATTTATACTTTCGACATTTCAATTAAAAATTTCTCAAGCGATAGTCCAGCGATTGTAAGATCAACTAAAGAACTAATAGTATCAACACATTTTCAAGCAGAAACGAGTTGAGGAGGTAAAAAAATACCAACTAGGGGATATTGCTTGATCTGACACCAAATTCTCAAAGCGAGTGGAAGAGTTTACTCACCAAATGAACACATTGTCTTGAGTAGACTGCTTCACCGCGGCAATAACCCAAAATGGCTGCAGTTTCTGGGTACAAGCCTGAGAAATCAAAGTCCTAATCATCATGACAACTGTTAGTTAAATCAAAGCATCAATTTTTTGCATTTACAACTTTATGGTGACTTTCATTGCACAACATTTGTGGATAAATGCCTTTAGGACTGAGGAAAAAGGAATACGTCGATCAAAGACTTATTAGAGGTCACAGGAAACAGTGACTTCAAAGAATTTTGCTACCGATAATAGTGGCGCCACATGACGTCAAGAACAAATGTGAGTGACAGGCGGATATCCTAAGTCTACCAGTAAGGTTGTATACTTTAACTAACCTTCAAATTTAAGGAGATGTCTCTTCAACACGTAACTGCAAGTTAACGCAAACAATTACATTTAACTGACTCACTTGTCCTAGAAGTGTAAAGAGGGAAAGGAATTCAACATAAACTCACAGAGGATGGTTTTTGTACTCCGTTATGCTGGTGGGCAGAGGTTTGTCAAGAAGTTGATCTAGTGGGAAAAAAGGTAAAACTGTGAACGTTTAAAAAGGCAAAGCTCGAGTTGTGCTGCAATTGTTCGATCAATTCAACTGGATTTAACGTCAAATACAACTCCTCTGGTTCTGGTGTGGAGCTTAATACATACCCTCAAGAAGAGAATTTTCCATCTTATCCATTTTCTGGCCAAAAAGAGAAAAGCAGTCTTAATTAATAGTCTAGTGATTCACGTTATTCTTTCACTTAAATTGATGTTGGATGATACAAAACCATCTCTAACAGTTTAAGCTATTCCTATAACATAACGTTAAAATATACAGAACTGTATTTCAAAATAGTGGTATTAATACAACATTGAATAATACAGCATTTTACCTTATTTTTTGACTTGTATGGAAGAAGTGTATCTTCCCACCAATCAGAATCAATGCGAAGCTTCCTGGTCTTAGACATGAAGGAAGAGGCATACCTATTTGTGACGTCTTTGACAGAATTATCTTAAAGGAAAGATATAAAAACACTTCAACCGTAAATGTACTTTTACAAGCACTTTGTAAGGTACTAAGAAAAGAGAAGTGGAATGAGGTAAAACGACACAAGTATCAAGTGAAAATTAATATCGTCAAACTAACCATTATCAAATGACACAACATATACCATAGGTTGGGTTGCCTGTTGTTCACACAGTTCAGGATGATTGACACTAGAAGATTCAAGATGAACACCTGGCAAAAAAAGGAAAGAAACTTAGCAATGCTTTGTCATGTCCCCATTATGATAATAGAAATATTATTACCTCAGAGAATTAAGAGAGAATATCGCTGCTCAAGCATTACACTTACAAATCCATTTCTTGTCAGAAGGCAAAAACACCTCAGTCCACCAATTGATACCTGTTGAATTAAACATACTGCCTAAGTAAAAACACCTGTTTGTTACAATATAGCACTATTATAAAAAAGATAGAAAAGCCTTTTTTGGAAGCCTATGGGCATTTCCTTTTCCTCAAGAAAAGGGAGATAATTTTGCATGCTATGAAAAGGCATCTTGTTCTCCATTCCACAGTAATGGCTAACCAAACAAGTGCACACATTCCTACTTGTGATACAAACCTGTTTCATCAGCAAAAACTTCCAAACACTTGATACTTTCATCAGAATCATCAGAGCTGATAATCTTCACAGGCTTCTTTTTATTTGATGAATCAGCAGCCAGTTTTCTTTTAACCAATGGTTTGCTTGAAACTTCAAAATCACTATCATCATCCAAAAGATTAATTAATGACATGCTACTGTTCTCAGTTGGTGTACCATTACAACTATCTGCCGAGGACACTTTTGTCCTGGCCAGAGGAGACTTGTTTTTCTTCTTTGGGAATTTTTCTGAGCAGTTTGTGTCTCCCTCCTCTTCACTTTCACTAGATGGTTCACTCCATTCTTTGTCATCCTCAATTTCCTTCTCATGGTCACTGAGTGAGTAATCTACCTTGGCTCTCTTGCGTAAAGGTCTCTTCTTCACCGGTTTTTTTGCAGGGTCATTACCAATGTTATCCTTGTTCTTTTTCCTAGTCTTGCTGACTTTGCTATTCTTATCAGAAGTCTTAGGAGTTCTTTGAACACCGCTAATCAATTTACCTCCTTCCTTTGTACCAGTTTTAGTTACCTTCTCCTTTTTTAATTTCTTACTGTCAACATCACTTGTATTTTCAGAAACGAGTGTCACAGATTTAGATGGAGTTGTCTTGGATTCATTTTCTGATTTGAAATTCTTTGACTTTGTAGCAGCTTCCTCCTGAACATGTGGCGGTGATAATTTTTTTGAATTTTGAGGAGATACTTTTTTCCCCTTGGGAGTATTCTTCTTCACAGTCTGCACAAATAACAATATTGTAATCATTAAAATGAGTTGTTAATTAGCTCTGTAATCAATCAAATTTTTCTTTGCCATCTATTGATAAAAGATGATCAATTTGTTGATGAACACAATTCAGTACTCACTTTAGAGCTTGTTTTACCATCTACGTCACCTTTAGCTGACATGGGCTGACATAAACAAAGTAAAGACAAATACATTGTTAATCAGTCTCCTTAGGATGTCAACATTTTGTAAGTATGTGGTCTGGAAGATGCATAACTTCCCCTCTCTAGTTCCTCTAGTTAGGCAAAATTAGAGATCTGTTTATCTGATAAATGTTTGGAAAATCTTACCTGAAGGGAATACACAAGCCTTGTCAGAAATCCAAGTGCTCTGAAGATTGTCACAAATACCTGAAAATTTATTGTAAGAACATGTAAGGACAATTGAGCTTTTAGTGGGTATACATTCCACTTTGGATAAGTCATATACAAGCTGAGTAATACATCAACCAGATACACACAAGAAACCCCATTAAATTCAGTCCTGATGACTCTGTGATAAGCTACCCAAGAATAATTTTATTATGATACACAGCGACTCCCAAGTTCCATTTACTTCTGTTTTTGACAAATCACATTCTTAACAGATTACAACGAAAAAAATTGATCAAGGGAAGGTTTACTGATTATGTTGTCAATTTAACTGATCACAGTTAATTAATTTATACTCACAACTGTTCAGTGTTAATTAAGTTAAGCTTTCTTCATAACTACAAACCTCAGATAAGTTTTGAAATCTGGCAATCTGTTTGTCTGTCTAAAAGAACAATAGAAAAGGAGTTAGTTGAATTATCTCCAGAAAACAGGAAGGAAAGTGAAATGGTAGGAAAATGAGGCATGAGCAGGGGATAAGAACAGGAAGTAGGAGCAATGAACAGAGATGGGGATGGGACTGGAACTGAGGAATGGGATAGGAAATAATGACATGGGACAAGCTCTGGGAACAGGATATGGGAACTGGAGGAATGAAAGGTAAGAGAGGGGTCTGGGATGGTGTAAAGGCAGCTAAAGTGGATGGAGATACAGTGAGAGATGACAGGAGATGAGCAAATGGAAAAGGAACAGGGATTGGGGGATGATTACAGGAAATGGAAACAAGGGAAAACACTGGGACATTGGAAAGGGGAACAGGGATTTGGGGCAGGGTGTGGAAACAGGAGTGGGAATGGAGGTTTGGAACAGGGAGGATAGGGACAAGGGATGGAAATGTTGTGCAAGTGAGAGGGGAATTGGGTGTGGCCAGGCAATTGGGTGAGGTGTGATAGACAACAGAAACTAGGAGTGAGGGATACTGATTATGTGGTGATAGCAAATACACACACACATAAAATTGAACATAAATGGGATTAATAAGCATGGTAGGCATATTCCATTTATGATTAGATACTGATTTAATGTAGTTTTAAATTGTTACCTCTTTGTCTCCAGTTCTTAAATCATCAGTGCTGGAGAACTCACTTTGAAACCTGAATTTTGAGACATCAGAAGCTATGGGGTAATCCAAACATATAACTGCATATATGCAATGTTTATCAATAAACATACAATTTTAAGGATAGAGATGGTAAGTTTCTAAAAAAACTGGTGCTGCATTGGTGGAAGAGTATAACAGGTAATTTAGTGTTGAAAATGTAAATTGACCACTGTAAAGAGTTTAAAGGCTAACCTTTCGAGCGATAGCCCTTTGTCAGAGTGATGGAGGGCTGAGTTTTACATGTACATTACTTTATCCTCATGATATCTCTTTTTCTTAAAAAAAAAAAAGAAAAAAAGAAGTCTAACCATTTCAAGAAGTTTGTAAGTTGCACCACGTCCCATTTCCTCTTGTTCACAGAAACAAAGTCCCCTGGAACATGGGATAGCAGAATAGCCTGAAGAATGAAAAGTTGAAATTATCAGTTGGTATTTGGTAACTTCTTTAGACTTAAGATCACTCAAACCTTCAAAACAGCAAAAGAGATTTCAAGAATTAACAAGATTTTCTGTCTGGTTGGAGCATTGTCCTTGAAAACAAACAAAAGCCTATTTTTTAGGTCAGAAATTGTACTACAGGGCTGGGTTGTTCAAAGCTGGATTAGATGACCCTGGTTAGTGTGAAATCTGATTTCAGAGATGAAAGCTTAAAATGAAAATTCAGTGTAACTCTTTTTTGCTACAATTTGATGATTGGATGCTCTAAAAAGAAAGAAGAAAAAAAGAAAAAAGGAAAAATGCTTTAGAACAAAGGAACAAAGAAAGCAGGATCAAAATTTAACCCTGGGTTACTGCTTATTGGCATTTGAACAACTTGGTCTAGGGGGGTTGTAATCAAATTTTTTTTTTACCTGTAGCAGGGACCCATTACAAATGTTGTTTCTAAAGAATCCATGTGCAATAAGAGTCAAAATGTGAACCTGAGGAAAACATGCAATGTAAAAGAGAAATTAAATGGTTTAATACTACAAACATCACATTTCATATAGTTGGCAGCACCCATGGAAAGAAATTGGCCAATATCCAGCCATGATGGCCTCATGCTTGGTCAATAATGTATATATACACTGTATTGAAGACAAGCCATGCACAATGTTATATTATGGAACAACTGTCCAATACCTTGTGGGCACTGGTGTAAACATCTTTCCTAAATCTGTTAATTGCTCTTTTAATGTATTTAACAACATCTTCATGACTCCTGTAAAACAGTAAAAAGGACAAAAAAAAGGAGAGTTTTATCACTAACGAAAAACATATTTAAAAGTGAGGGAAGACAATTCCTTTTTTCCAGCCAAATTTGAAGAACACACTGATTGGCTGCTTGGATTACTAACTAACTGTCTGATTACTGACTCACTGACTTACTGACTCACTGACTAACTGACCTACTGACAGAATGACTGACTGACTGACTGACTAACTGACTAACTGACTCACTGACTCACTGACTGATTGAGTGACTGACTAACTGACTTACTGAGTTAATACCTGATTGCCTGACTGACTCACTGACTGATTAACTGATTGATAGACTTACTGATTGACTGACTGACTGATGGCTGATTGACTGATTGACAGACCGACTGATTCATTGATTGATTCACTGATTGACAGACTGACTGAATGATTGATTAATTGACTGACTGACTGCATGATTAGTTGTAATCAATTCAATATTAAGATATGAGATTACCATCCTTTTTTTTTCTTTTTTGTTCCCGGTACTGTGATACTGATCTCAACACTGCTTTTGCTGGGTGGCTGATCCTCCTGTGAGGTTGAAGCTTCCTCGTGTTCAGGTCCATGATCCACAACATCAGCCTCTACCAAAACAAAGCAAATCAAAACAGAGAATTATTGGTACATTTATTCAAACTTTAAGACTAAATATTCTTTTTAAACAATTACAATTACATTGAACTGGGATAAATGTCCAGTGTTGGTAAGTTTTGCTCCAGGTATTCCTCTACAAATTTCAGTTTTTGAGACTTTATCCTCCTCCCCCTCCTTCAAGGGGGCTTCAGTCACCCCTCCCATGGAGTAAGAAACTACGTTTAATTCTTTATAGAACGATATTATTGCATCTCAAATTATAGCGATCCTTTCCTTTATCTTAACCCTTTACACCCTAACAGTATGCAAATTCTCCATACTGTTTTTTATGCATTTCTTAGCATTCTGACAAGGAGACTTTGTTGAATAATCAAGATTTTTTTGAATTGGTAATTATTTTCTCTATTCTCATGAAGTAAATGTATGATTCAGGGGTGATGTGGTAAGGAGAAATTATATGCTGGTCATTCTAAGTGGCCCAAGGGTAAACAATTGTCTCATTGGTTCTTATGCCAAAACACATATTGTATACCTACCATCAACATCTTCCCACTCTATCTCCTCATCATCACTAGAATCATCTTCCACAGATTCTTTTGCTTTACTTTCCTCAACATCATTCTCTTCTTTGATATTTTCTTTCAAATCTAGTTTCAACCTTTTGCTTGCAGCTGCATGGTGTTTTCTAGGTGAACTCTGTTCATCTCCAGGAGTAGGTACAGGTGAATGTTTATGTTTCACTGGACTTCCTTTTTTCAGCTTCCCTTTTATCTTTGCGATAGGTACATGCACCTGTTTCAACTCAAGGGAGGTGGCCTTTGGTTTCACATCATTCTTATTAGAGGCTTGTTTCAAACATGCAGATGATTTACGTTTCTCTGCCTTGGAAAATCTTTTCTTGCCATCTACATTTTTCACATTCTCTGGCATTTGGTCTTCAGATAAATTCACTTTAGGTTTTTTTGAGGGAGATTCACTAAGCTCCTGGGATGAGAACTTTCTCCTCTTGCCTCTGTGAGAGGGCCCTAAGTTTTAAAATAACAAATATTTATACCCTTAGTAAGAATATGAATTAATGGCTGCAGCCACACCAGGGTAGTTAACTGGGTCTTTTTTTAAGACACCTGGTTCAGATTTCCTAAAAACTTAACTTGGTGAAAGATTTGGTTGAGATGAAACAAAGGGGTTATATCTTTTGAATTACCACATTAACAAGGGTTATAGAGTAGGTGAACCTAATTGACATCATGGGGAAAACCAAATAAAATGCAGAAGTTGATGACCATGTTCTTATTTTCTGGTTTCTCTTTCTTTCATTTAGTCTCCTTTCTATACCCTCACAGACATGGTAATCCCTCTTCCTTCAGATGCATACCACACAAACTTCCAAGGTACTGTCCTTCAGCATGATGTTGATTTTGTGTAGATATCAGATTGTCCTCTATTGTGGTTGAATCAATTGTCCCTGAGTTTGGTTCTATCCAAGAAATCAGAGATGGCTTGGGGAAATCATGAATCCTGCCATGTGTAACTTTTGTAGAGCACTTTTGAATGAACATCAAGGTCTTTCAAGCACAGTGATGTATTCTTTCAATATTTATGATAAAAAGAAACAATTGTATCTAAGTAGCAGTACTGATTGTAAATCCTACGGCAATTGGATTGTGGTGCTTGAGTGACCGAGTAACTGAAAAATCATGATGCAGCCGCTTTTTTGACTCTTTATCAAACTGAAACTGGCTTAACCCTTTCAATCCCAGATCACATAAGTAATTCTCCTTACTGTCTGCCATACAGTTCTTGTGATGTTTGGTAAATTCAGTATTGAATCAACTAACAATTGCCCAACTCATATTTCTCTTTATTCTTATCACCTGTCTTCTTGGCATGGTGTTGATATGGTAAGAGGAGAAATTCTGTTATGGTGACTCGTGGGAGTTAAAGGGTAAACAGTCACCATATAAATGGATGGAGAACAAAAGATTTTTTAACTGAGTTTGGCTAATTCTGAACTACCTTTCTGTGTAGTTAGACACAGGTTAGTGGTTTCTTATCAGTGCCGTGAATTGCTTTTTTCCCCAAATGTGCCAGTCATTGTGGTCTGTGTGGGAAATGTTGTTCTACATGGCACAAAGAAGTGCATTACTTCTGAACATGGAGTCTGGTAACAACAGCCACGACAACAAGGTACATTAACTCTAATTGATTAATTAGAAATAACCTGGTTAAAATGTCTAGTGTGACTGCAGCTAATATCATACTTGTAAATTACCTTAACCATTCATGGCTCTATAACAAGGACAAACATTTAGCAAAGGGTGGGGTAGAGAGAGGGTAGATGTATGTGGTACAAACCCTTTCAAGAGAAGTAAATTCATAATACCGCGGCAACCTAACGTGTTTTCCAAAGGCAACTAAGATACTAGTTTCCGCCATTCACCCCCCTAATAGAAAATCTTTTCAGAGCCCCAGAATTGGGTACAAAGCCCCCTTGTGTGTTACGTAACTAAAGAAGGTATTGCTAATTCATAACCACCTTCACTGCAATCGCAGCTACTGATCAACAGAAAATAAGACGAAGTCACTTTTGTAAAGGTAAGACGCCCAGAATATTTTCGAAAAACTCACCGTTTCTGGAGGGTTCATCCGTCGATTTGTCACAGCACTTAGTTGATTTCTGTAAAGAATCGGCAGCCGGTTCTATTTCGCGCTTGACTGATCGCAAGCTTGCTTTTGAAGATACAGAGTTCTTCGCCGCTGTCGCTCCAGATTTACCATTTTTACAAACTCTTGAGGCAGAAGAAGTTTTCCTCGTAGTTTCTCTCTTCGTTTTAGCAGAATCTGACCTCAATCTCGCCATAACTTGGTTATTTTGGGCGACCGATTTGCTCATTCAATCGCTGCCCAAGAAGCCATGTTTCGCGGGTTTCTGACCGACAAACCGCTGATCACAAACATAATCACGTCGCGTCCGTCTCATCGTTTCGTGCAAGGATTTCGTGACTTATCTGTGACCTGAGCGTCTCGATTTTAGTAGCAAAATAAATTAAAACCGGAAAGACAAAAGTCAAATACAACAGAATAACCGAAAAAGACAGATACACATGCAAATATGCAAAAGAAGAAAGTTGGAAAGAGAGGGAGGGGGGGCAGAGAGAGAGAGAGAGAGAAGAGAGAGAGAGAGATGATATCACCTAAAGACAGCATGTCAAAAGATATCAAGAATGCTCATAAATGATCAATTTTGGGAAGAAGCTGAGAGTATTTAGACTTCCGACTATTTCTGCTAATTAGGATTCATATCAATGACTTGGGGTGAATGCGGCGAGGAGAAAAAGAGCAACAAAGTACTAAAACCTATAAGGTTTCTTTTATTTCTCATGATATAATCTCATAATTATTTATCTAATAATATGCAGAACAAAATCTTGGAAATTAGTTTTACAATATTAAAATATTTTCATACAGTAGTAGCCTAACTGTCAGATGTTGATCATAACACATAAATTTTACAATTTTTTTTTTTTTTATCATATTTAAACTATTTGAATGTTTTGGAAATTATTTATATCAGTCCTAACCATGAAATAAACTTTAAGGCCCTAATAGATGTTGAATTACAAAGGAAATCTTTAAATTTCATTAGAAAAGAAATAATTTTCTCTGAATGTTTCACCTAACTTAAAATTACCACTTTTCATTGTATTTCAAAGCATTTGTATTTTTCTTTTACCTCAAAAACTTACAACACTTTTGAAATAACACTCCAAAAAATTTGGCAATGCTTCTCTACAAAAACAAAATCCAACCAACATGAATTTCTTATTTTAATTCTTAGCTTTAAATATTTTCATTATTATAACAAGAGCTTCTTCCTTTCATCATGTAACTTCTCCCTTTCAACATCCATACATTATCCAGCAAACAGGTAATGAGAATTCTAGAATTTATCATGCAAAAGTTCCAACCTTGATCAGACAACACATTCTCTTTATCCATTACAAGGAAATGAGTTGCAGCTAGAGGGGAGAATTAACAATCAGATCTTGGGAGTTAAAGAGTTCCAAGCACAAATAGTCTAAGGTCTATAATCATCGAAGTCACTAGAGAGAGACCTCTTTACCTCAATATCCAGTCTAAACTATTAATTATTTATTAATTATTTCTAAACTAACATCAGTATGTATATTCTCCATACTGTTCTCTATACATTTCCTAAGGTGCTGACAAGGAGAATTTGTTTAACAATCAAGAGCTTCTTTAGTTGGTGATCATTTCCTTTATTCTCATGATCTTAAATGAATGATTCAGCAATATTATTGTAAGGAGAAAATAGATGCTGGTCACTCTATATCTAACTGCTAAGTCTCTCTTTCAGTATTTTGACTATTTGATCAGTGTCTTTGGTTTATTCAAGACTTGGTTTCATAAGCCGACCAAGGAACAGAATGGCTCCTGATTCATTTTGTCTTATAATGAACAGGAAAGGGTGATCAGCTTTGAACATTGGCTTCGGCAAAGGCATACTCATTAGAGCCACACCAATAGCAGTAGCAGCAGCTGCTTCGGTGCCTTCTTCATCCACCTCGACAAATGCCTTGTGCACAATCTTTGAAACACACAGTGGCTCACTTGAGATACCAGACAGGTCAGCCTTTCCAGGAATAAACATCTCTTCTGCTCCCATCTTTGCCAACACGTTGTTGAGGTCAAACTGCTGAGTCAGCTTAAATTTAGGCAAAATGACTTCAACTTCACCCATTGAACCATTAAGCAGGGATAGTGACTGCTGAAGAGTCTCATAAGTGATCCTGTTTTCCAGCTTGGCCAGACCATCAATTTCCACGGGAAGAAAGATTACCATAGACAATTTATTACCCAGGTATGGCATTTCAAGAATTTGACAAGCCAGATCCTTTGACTCCACAAACTTAAAATCACCTTCTTGGCACATCATTTCCACTTTCATTTCTTCTTTTTGTGACGGGAAGAATGACCCTGTGAACGTGTCTTCTTTTTTGAACTTCTCTTGCCACACACTTTTGAAGTAGATCGCGTTCACCAGAGTCAGCCTGGTATCCGAACCCAGCATTCCTGCAGGAATAAGATCTTTAATCTTATCGTTTGTTTGCTGTTCGACCCATTTGTTGATCTCTTCTCTAGCTTTCTCGACATTTGCAATGTAGTCTACCAAAGCGATTTCAGCGCGGTAGAACTCTCGCATTCCTTGTTGAAAGGACGACAGGATTTCGAAGCTCTTTTGCACGAAGAGTCGGTTAGCTATCAGAAGCTTGTTGTTTTCATCACTTGCCCTATTCAAGCTATCGATGAAGTTCTTCATGCTCTTGCCCAAATCATCTGATGAAACTGAATCCACGTGCAAAACTTTCATTAGTTCCAAAGCAGTATTCCCCCTCGTTCCGAAAGAAGTCATCGCAAGTGCAATCAGTAAACTTGAAGGAGAGTAGAAGAGGTTTTCACCGGCAAATTTATCGGTACTTTTCAGGCATTTATGAAGATCTAGCGCGAATTTGTTTGCGGCTTCGAACTCCAAGGCAGCCATATTTCAAGTTTGCTCAAAAGATTGCTCAACCTGTTCTTTCCACAACTCGTTTCCAGTCTTTTCCACGCGTCAGGTTAACACGGAAATCGATACTCAGAGGGCTTACTTTGGGTGTAACGCAACGGTAAAATTAAAAGCCAACACGTGAGACGCGCGCAAATTTGTAGCCGCAATACCTCCGCTTTCTTCCTTGAAAAATCTTTGCTTCGTCCACGGATATCAACCTGAGAAAATTGAAGCTCGGAGGTGGTGTTTATGTTCTGTCTCATTGCCTCTCACGAAAGAACAAAGTTATAGAGTAATTTTTCAACCAAAATTGTAAGAAATCTAAAGTATCTCTCGCAAATGAAACATTAGCTGTGTTTGAAAGAGCTTCTGGTGGCTTACTTGAAAAGACGAAAAACTGTTGATAATGCCTGACGGAGTCAAATCTTGACCATGTTGCAAATGATGGAAAACGAGAGAAGATTGCGTGACGTGACCTTCTTCTGACGTGACTGTCTCGATTTCCGTCGCAGACAAATGCAGAAAGACAAAAGAGAGAGAGGGAGGAAAACAAAAGTGACAACAGCACAGAAGATATCAAGAATGCTCATGGTTGATCCGTTGTGTGAAGAAACTGACTGTATCACGTCGCGTCCGTCTCATCGTATATTAGGATTCATATTAACAACATAGGGTCAACGCAAGAACAATAAGAGTGTAATACAGCTTAAGTATAAGTACGGCTTTCTTGGGCCGAACAATGTAAGAGTGATCTTTGCATTACACCTTTTGTTTTTTTCGGTTTTCAATGAATACAGCCATCAATTTGGACGCATCTCAAGAGTACCAGCGGTTAGCAACGGTGTTGTCCGTTCAGTTCAACTATCGCTCTTTTCGGAGTAGATGTCTTGGGCATTGTAATCGACGGCAAGGAAAATAGTGTCGGAATTTCGAAAGAGTTTGAAACAGGATTGGTTCCATATTGTCATGACTTCCTTGAGTTTTCTGTTTACCCTGTTACAAATGGTGGAGAACGATCACGGCAACATTGATGGAAGCTTTTCGCCTCGTGAAAAAGCGGTGACTTTTTTCGGATTGTTCTGGTGAATTTGCCATTCATGATTATGCGTCTAGTAATGTTTATCAAATACAAGTCAAAGACGAGTCTATTTCCATTGAAAGAATGGAATCGCCACCTTTCTATCTGCCTAACAGATTTACTGGATTAAGAACCAAGAGTGAATTGTAACTGTGGCATTGACATCGTCTGCAGAGTGATATTCTTTCTCCTCTAATTTACCAATATATTTCAATGAAGAGCGTGTGTTTGAAAGCTTTAAAATTAAGGCGTATATTTCAGTTTTTAAGAATTCATTCATACACCAGGTGTTGAAATTCAATGGATAAAATAACTCCGACGAGATCTATGACTCTATCACCTGTGTATCATATGATACCATTTCCATTGGTGGAATTGTATCCTGAGTTCATTAGTCTGGTATTGAATCCTCTACTATGAAATTCTATTTAAACTGAAACTAGATAAATTGTATCCTTCTGTCAGCGAAAAAATATGTAGCTTTAATTTGTATCAAAGGCACTCTCTGAGTCTAAATTAGTAAAACCTGTACCAGTTCTTATCAGTATTTTTTAACGTTTTGACTTTCTTTGTTACAAAGAAACATTGGAGAAAAATTTGCCCAAATCTTAAAATAAAGCAGTTGACCTCTTGCTTGATTTTTTTAGTAATCATAAGTCGTTCTTGTTGCCATGATCGGGGAATCCTTTAAGGAAATTATTTCACGAAAACCGGTAAATTCAACCTCGCTTCCAGGTAAAGTCCCAGGGGACATCTCCCTTGTCTTTTTTTTTCGTCTGGAAGAGAGGAGACCCTAGGGACGAGCTCGCAACCCATGAATTTACTGCTTGTCGGGGATTTCTTTGAAATTTTTTACTTTGATCGCGGACAGGGAATGAGCGTATTTTATAGATTCTCGGCTAATGATGAAAAATGCGAACCAATGCGAGAACTTGTTCTCCGTTGTTATGTTCATTTCCACAATTTCGTCATTCCCTGATAATACCATTGATAATACCATCGAAAATGAAACTGGGAACTTTACCAATTTTAAAAGGAACATTCATGAATCTCATTTTCGGTGATGGTGCAATGAAACAAATGTGTTCGGGAAGCTCCCCTTCAGAAACGAAACTTCCTGCAAAAAATACAAGCTGTGGCTTATTTACCTCTATAGCTAGTAATTTGTTTGTGCCCTAGCCGTAACCCTAACCCTAAGCATTTTATGACGAAAAAGAAGTTAATTACTACTAGGGATGTTTCCCTTGCAGATGTTTTTTAGATAACGTAATTTCCGAATCGAAAACGATTACACTGCAGATTTCAAAACTATATAGCCTTCGACAAAGACACAACCCTTTAATTTAAAGAGAAAAGCGAAGAATGGATTGCAGATTTGTTTTGGTCGGTCGTTTTCTGGCCTTTCTTCTTCTGTTCGTCCAGTGTGGGTTCCTGACAGCCTTTCCTGTCTGGTATAAGGATGATTTTCGTCTGATGCCCTTGCTACTGTTATTTTCTCCCACTCTGGTTTACTATGTCTTTTGTTTGACTACTGCAACAAAACTCCATAAAGTGTTCCGTACGTGGGGTCTTTACGTTTTTTTCGGTTTGATCCCTTACATCGTCATCATTTTTGCATTGTGTGGAGACGTACTCGACAAGAATAATTTTCTCAGCCCGACCTGTTTGAAAGTGATCCTTTGCATCACCCCTGTTGTCTTTCTCATTCTGGTGAATACAGCGAGTGATTTGGGTGAACATGAAAAGTATACAACCCTGGTCTGGTCGCTGTCAATCGTGACAACAATAGATCTAGTCGATGGCGTCGAGATGTTGGATATTGTGCTCGATGAGAGAGAGAACAGTCACGGAATCCCAAAAGAGTTTGGATATGCGATTGTAGCAGTGGCGTGCGGGAGCTTTCTGTTGACTCTGCTGCAAATTGCGAAGAATAAACTCAAAGAAGGGACCGTTTCCCCTCGCAAAGGAGTGGTAATCCTCGCAAATGTTTTGCAAATCATCTTTGTAAATTTGGCGTTCATGGTAATGCGACTGGTAGTTGTTATAAAGTACAACAAAGATGAGAATGAGTCCCTCTTCATCATGAAGAATGTGATCTTCATCTTTCTCTCAGCAATGCAGATCTACTGGATCCGACAGAGCTAATTTGAGTATGTGAAATTAACTGAACAGAGAGACGTATTCGATTTGAAATTGCATCTAAGGAAAGGAAACTGAGACTTTTTAAGGAGGATGTATTTCGACGATTATCAACAGCCGCTTGTTAAGTTTGAAACTGAAAGTACGATCACACCTCATCATTAAAACAAGATATCTCTCGGGTCTTTCAAATCATCATCAGCTATCAGTCCAACTTTTTTTGACAGAGTCGAATTTTAGCAAATAATAATTTTTTTTTCTGGAAGGAAAACGAAAATAAAAAGGTTTTAGAAATTGTAAGCATTGCCTACCTCGTTCATGATCTTTGCACGTTAGTTATTTTAATGTTCAATGTTCAAAGGCGCTAAAGAAACGGAACGAAATGAAATATTGTGAATAAAATTAGGGGATGACACTCCGATTTAGCTGCAGGCGACAGCGCCTTACACACAATTAAAACAGAAGTATTGTACAAAATAGTGCTGACGAGGCAAGAGGGTCTCATTCATCAGTTTGGGGCCTGTTTATGTTACTGCAACATTTGTGTTTGTGAGAAGATTTCTCTTTGCGAAGTATTATTTATTTTGCCACTCAAAAATTGTACTTTCTGTTTTTGGAGGTGTAACGAGTTAGTATTTGCTCTAATTGTAAATAAACACAATTGCGTTGAAAAAGCTTCGGTGTTGTTG